CTTGTGTTCGTTTTCTTTCCTTTTTTTATCTTTGTGAAGGTATTGGTGTTCATTTGGTCCAGAAAACTGTGGGAAAGGCGGGGGTATATTGCCAAGCCGAAAATATGGACTTAACACTCGAAACCGTGTTGCTAGACCTCGTGGCTGCACATGCCATTTTGTAGTGAAGCGTCTGTATGCCCGTCCATCTCTTGCACTTATTGTCTTGGTGCCAAGAAAATTCCATATATATTTAATGAGATTCAACAGCAAACTATGTTTATGATCGATCTTAGCATTCCTGAGGAGAATGTGTTAGAGAAGCACATTGAGGGGATTCAACGCTACTGCGGTTCAAATGCAAAAGTAAATAGCCTTACTTCCCAGTATGTCCACAAACTCGGGATGATTATCAAACGTTCTACGCATGATTTGGATTTAGATGACCAAGCTAGCATACAAATGTGGGTAGAACGCAATAAGAAATCTATATTCTTTTACCAGGATACTTCAGAGACAGATTCTTTCATTCTGGGGATTCAAACAGAGTGGCAGTTGCAACAAATGATTCGTTTTGGCCATCGCAGTCTCGTGGCCGTTGATTCAACATTTGGCATAAAAAGACTCAAGGTAATGAATCTATTGATGCTTGTTTGTGCATGCTTTAGAAAATCTACCAGCCATTCTCATGTCATCTTTGCTGAATGGCAGTATCCCTTATGTACACTTCTTGTGTTTGATTCAAGACGACATGCGCTCCCTGTTGCCTGGGTCATTACTCGTAGCATTGCTAAGCCGGATGTGTCTAAGTGGATGAAAGCTCGACTTGATCGTGTTCGTGCTGCTGAACCTGGATGGAAGGCCAATGGGTTTTTGATTGATGATGCTGCGTCAGAGATTGATCCGATAAGGCAGGATGCTCTTCCTCTATTTTTTCCTGTTTAAATTTACATTATTTTCAGATCATTTATATGAAGTGACTGTCTTTCAGGGATGCATTTTCTTGTCCTGTCCTATTCTCCCTCTGCATATTGTGTGGAATCCTGGATCAGAATTTGCTTTTTGTAATTGTGCATGGTCAATCATAAAGGTCAATGTGATCTGTGAAAATCGTCAAGGCTATCAGTCTTCTATGTCTTTCAGTTCTTTTAAAGAGATGTTAATCAATCTCTGGATGATTCGGTTGCACTGGATCTGTCAGTGGCATGGACACACCAGATGCTTGACAAAATTCAGACACTTCTTGAACTGAACAGTTCAAATGACATTGGCAGTGCAGTAAATAGTCTGCCACTGAAATGGGTTGCTAAGAAGGGGAGAAAATCTGTTGGCAAGACACCATCCACTCTTGCTCTGCCCTCCAGCTCCATGGGTAATTCTAAGAATTCTGCTGCACGAAGAAAGAACCGAAGAGGAAGAGATTGTCTCGCTTGGGATGGTAGGTAGAGTGTTCTTCTTGCACATAATTGACCCATGAATTTCCTCTTCCAGTTTTGTGTAGGATTCTTTGTTTTTGGTATGTCCCATGGTAGCTAATTCAAGTTGGCTATTCTTTGTTTTTTTGCTTAAATTTGTTTCCAAATCCACTTTCCTCTTTGAACTTTAGGACTTAATGTCGCCCACAGGTTTATACAACAGTTCTTACTTTGTTATCTCACTCATAGATCATCTTTGAAATTTCATTCCTCGATCATGATTCATTTTAACTTTAACTCGTGTCTTTTTCAATGAAACCTCCTCAATGCATTCAACAATTATTTTTATCTCCTGCTCATAGTTGTTTAGTGTTGACCTAATTTGCCTGTCACATTACCAGGCTGATTCTGTAAGGTGCCTTTTGGCCCACACCAAACAGACTAATGGTGCTGTTTGGGATGCCAGAAAATGTGTGAAACTGAGGCTGATTCTGTTAGACTTATATGATATTATTAAAGGCGAAACACTCCAGTTAGTTTCTTGACTCCAATGGGCCCTTTGTGCTTTTGTGGGTCCTCTAAAAAACAATGTTGTGCTCCTTTATCCGAAGAAGAACAAGAAGAAGATGATGAAGCATCCTCCGCTGGATCAGCCTACTCAGTCAATGGATCCTTATTCTAGTCAATTATTTCAACATGGCCAAGATTTGATCCAGACGAAATTTAACCCAACAATCAGTCAAAGGTCATTGCCTGCTACAGATCGATCAGTCAAAGGTCATTATCACTATTTGCCATGGTAAGTGTTGGTAAGAAATCACTATTTCAACCATTCCCGGACAAGATACTATTCATCTAAAGTTATCGACAAGACAAGAACAGTGGCACTATTCATCCACAATAGCAGTCAGAGCTAGCCACTTTCAGGAAAAAAAGCAGGGATTCCCGCCACAGATTCCGCAACAGTCAGATTCCGCAACCGTAGTCAGGAGTTCTCCTATATATAGAACTCATTTACATTTATAAAAGCAGGCTTTTCTTTCAGAAGTTATTTCTTGCTTTGCTTTCTCTCTCGTTGTATCCAATCACAATATGTTGCATTCAACAGTTTACTCTTTTAAGTGATTTAGGCTCCGTTTGTCCAATCACAATATGTTGCATTCAACAGTTTACTCTTTTAAGTGATTTAGGCTCCGTTTGTCTCGACGGAAAATATTTTTATTTTTTAGGTAAAATATTTTTTTTATTTGTACCTTTTAATGTTTGGCAAAGGTCTAGGTCGAAGTTGAGGTCGAGTCTTTCGAACGGGATGTATAAAATAACTTACCAAAATTTGATGAATAAATTATTTTTGTAAAATTTTAATATATTTTTTTTTTCGTAAATATTTTAAGACAACCAAACACCAAAAATTAAAAAAATATTTTTCGTAAAATATTTAACATCCAAATAAACAAAACATTAGCAAGTGTATTTTGTTCTTAAGTCCATATTAATATATTATATATATATATATATTGGGTATGGTCTCAAGTAGGATCTGTGTTTGACAAATAGGCCGGTGTTAGGCTTAAAAGTGGCTTTTACAGGAACACAAAATACATTTTTCTCTCTCTTACCGCATACATATTATCTGTATTGTGACAGTTTATTCTGTTGGGTAAAAAAATTATGCTGTTTGCATCGAGCCAAAAGCATGACCCTCTTTCTCCATGTATGGTTTGGTTCAAATGTTGCCAAACCTAATTGGCAAGCGGTGACTATTTCCAAAAATGTGTGGATCATGAACCGTGGATTGGTTGGATTTGGTTTGAATGTGCTCGCACAGTCCAACGTGGACTGGCCGCAGCCTCCAACACAATGTTCCGTGCTCGAGCATTCAAATAATGTAGTTTCTATGCATAGGATCTCTCAACACAAAAGGAGATGTTTTAAGATGAATTTAAACTGGATAACGGAAATCATATGATCAAAGATGTGAATGTTAAAAATAGAGTAATGAAATGCTAGCTGACTCAATCAGCCGAATTGATGGCTGCTGAGATGGATTAAGCCTGGACCCGTTAATGCATCCTATGGCCTTTGATGTATCCTCGGCTGCAAAGTATGGATCATGATTGGTGAAGATACAATGATGGGTACAGATAAAAATAACTCATTGGGTTAGGCAATTGGGAGACATGACGGAAAAAAGAACACATGTTGTTTTGATGAACTATTTTTCATACTTTAAACAAATTTTCAGGATACTACAAAAATGTCCACGACACTCCAACTAGTGGCTACAACAAGATTGATTTGATTAGTTTTTTTTTTTTTTTTACAAATTTTTTATTCTTAATTTTAAATCAAATTATTAATTTTAATTATTATTTATTTTTTATAGATGAATACTGTTAGAGAAGTATATAAACGTCAACAGAAACACAAATTTAAATACGAGCATTGTTGGAATGTTCTTCTGCATACGGAAAAATGACATATGCATTGCAACATTAAACAAAATCCAACTGGACAATCAAGGAAGAGAAGTGTTGATCTGAATATTAATGAGTCTAGAAATTGGTCTCAATCGACTCCAACAACACCAGGTTCATCAACTCCTGCAATATCAACTCCATCTTCGGTAAACCATGGCGATGACACCCGACCGATACTAAAAGTTCGAATATCTCACACCCTGAGGGACAAAAAGCAGGGAAGATTCGTAAAAAGAAAACAATATATTTTGAAATAGATATTCTTAAACAATTGGAAGTTGTAACATAATAGGGCGTCATGTTTGGTGAAGCAGCTGTGGAAGGAGAGCTAATAAGACTTCAACTCTCCATGGAGAGACAACGGACTAAGCAGCTGGAGATAGAATCGAATTTGGAGAAAGAACGTTGGAAATATAAATGAGAGAAAAGATGGCTGAAGTGGAGTTTGAAAGACATATAATGCATCAAGATCTATCAAATGCTGTAAGAGAAGCATAAAAAACATGGATCATTCGAGAACAAAATCGAATCCTAAATAAACTAAATCAGAGGGGGTGGTCATATGTAATTTATTTTTATTTATTTATTTAATTGTGAGAAATATGTAATGTATTTTATATTTTATTTATGTAATTGTGAAAAAATATGTAATGTATTTTAATTTTATTTATATAAGTGTGAGAAAATATGTAATGTCTTTTTATTTAAGTTAATTTAAATTTGTTACAAAAATTATTCCATTCAAATATAAAAAAAAATGTTTGCAAGTTATTAAAAAAGATAGCCGTTGAAGAAAACACCAACAAACAAAAATAAATAAATATGTTTTTAAATTTTTTACGCAAAATATTAAAATATATATAAAATAATGAAAAATGATAATAAAATATTAAATAGAGATTAAGTGAAAACTATTATCAATACCCACGTACCTAGCACTGCAGGAACACGGATTTGAAGATTTTCCTTCAGCAAATCTTTGATGGAAGTTCAGATGTGATCACACACACACATATATATATTCAAACTTGGGACAAGTATTACTATATATGTGTATATATATCTAGTAACACAAGTATTTTAAGGCACATTTTTATTTTGCTGCCAGTCTGCCACTTCCATTTTTGCCAAGACGCAATCAATCATGCAAACATCTTAATAGAATGTCAAATGGACAAAATTGGAACCCCACCTACATACTTTGAGCCTCTCTCCTCCAATCACATTTTCATTTCTCCAACGCTTTTCCATAGCAGCTTTCTCTCTCTACAGCAGTAGTAGAAGAACAACCCATTCTCTCTCTCTAGAAGTACTTGAAAGGATTGAGATCTCGAATCCACCCATTGCAAATACAGTATCTTCATGGGCCTTCAGTTTCTTACTCTATGTTCAATTCTCTCTCTCTCTCTCCGATTTCTCCATATCCATTTCTAATCCATGTCTGATTTTACCTATTACTCATCTTCCTTTCCTCCTCATCTACGGCGCAATAACCCATCTTGATTGGTTACCCAGAAAACCCAAGAAAGTCGGAAGGAGAAGAGAACCCTTTCCCCAAATTAAGTTGGGAAATCATGGCGTCAATATTTTTGTACCACGTGGTTGGGGACCTGACGGTGGGGAAGCCGGAGGTCGTGGAGTTTGAGGAGACGGAGACGGTGGAGGCGGCGATTCGAGCAATCGGAGAATCGGCAGAAGGTGGGATACCAGTTTGGCGGAAGAGATCACACAAGAGTGTGTTTGAGAATGCGGAGATTAGACAAAATAGGTTTGTGGGTATCCTCAATTCGCTTGACGTTGTTGATTTCTTGGCTAGAGATGGGCGTTTGGAGGATCAGGATAAGGCCATGAAGACTCCGGTCTCGGAGGTTGTGGTGCCCTGCAATTCTCTGCTCAAGGTGGTTGACCCTGCCACTAGGTTAGAACTCTTAATTTAATACAGTAATGCATTTATTTATACAATTATTATATGTGTATAATACATATTCTCTAATAGTATTGTTTGTGTAATCATGTTGGTTTAGGGACATTTGTCTGTTTCTTTTGAATGTTGATGATGTTGTTTATGGAATAGAGAAAACTGATTATTGTTGCCTTTGTTGTTGATGTTTGTGGTTGTGAAAATTCCATCATTTTCCCCTAAAATTATAGATATCTATTGGTCACTTGAAAATAAATTATTGGTTTGAACCTATCAAATTATTGCTAATATCCATTCCCGTTAATGCATGAAATGTTATGTTAACCATTAAGTGGTTGCATTGCACTTTGAGGTTGACAAGCGGGTTCGTGGTTAATGGTTAGTGAGTTAGTTTATAGGGATGGTGTTCAAGCTCAATAAGGTTGTAGTTTTGTCCATTTTAATAATTGAAAGGTTCATAGAGTTTCTAGTTAGGGGCCTTTTTTGAATACAAATTTCTTTGTTATTTGAAGCTCTATAATTACAAATTTACAATAAGATATAGCAGTTAGTTTCTTTATATGCCATTGAAAAATTAGTCTAATGTAATCTAATGATTTGACAGAAGATAACTTTTCTCTGAAAAAGTGAACCAGAGTGAATGATCAATACAATTTAAGATGGACTAATAAAAAAATCACATGCGATTGATGTTATCATTTAATCTAACTTATGCTCGCTGTACTTCAGAAACGCTTTTATTCCTTTTGAGTTGGGTAGTAAAAAGCTATTATAGTACATGTTAGGGTAAATTACACTCACACGAGGTTAAGCCTAATTAGGGCAACTTACGACGTTAAGAACAAATTTGGAATATCATATTTACCCCTTGTTGTATAGTGCATTTTTTAAACAAAAAATCTTACAAATGAATGCCTAATTTTTTTTTTGATAAGTACAAATGAATGACTAAAATGTCCCTACAATAATATTGATTCATTAAAAAACTTTCTCTCTCTCGTGGTCTCACCCGCTAGAGAAACAGAATGAGTTTTCACTTTTACAATCCCCAGAATCTTTCTGTAAGTTTCCCTTGTTTCATCAAATAGATACCATCTTGATATTATCTTGTGCAATTAGCAGAGCTATTCTGTGTACATCTTCAGCTTCAATGTAATGATTTTGCTGCATTAATGCCCATACTAAGTTCCCCTATATATAATATTATAGTATTTCCCTTCTTGTTAATTAACCTCCCCCATGAATGTCAGGAAAGAACAGAGACAAATTGGAGGAAACTATTTGCACTTTTACTGGTAACCGAGTTGCTTCTTGTCAAACAAAAATCTGAAATTTCTTCCATCGAGATCAGGCCGTCTCGGTCCATTTCCATTGAAATCCATCCCTTGCTGAATGAAATACAACTTTTGCCTCGATAAAGCTATTTGGTCATCTGATCTCCCACCATCACAACAAAAGTCCAATCTAATCAAAATGGGATTCTGGGGTTTGGGTTCTTCGATTTTGGGTGTATATTGGATGTATATATATATGTGTGTGTGTATATGTATATGCATTTATATATATGTATAATGGGTGTGGGTTCTTCATTTTGGGTGTATATTGGATGTATTTATATGGGTTTGTATATATGTATGTTAGGTGCTGGTTCTTCGATTTTGGGGTTTGTTGGATTCATTTTTTTGGGTTTATTTTTAACCTATTAGCCGAGGCTGAAATTGCAAAGGTGATTAAATGCCTTTGGGACTTTCAAATTGGCATTGGAGAAGTAAGTGTGAAGCTAAAGGAGGAGTGAATTGAAAGAGAGAGAGAGAGGGAGGGGATTGGCATAGAGAGAGAACATGACCAATCCATGTGGGTCTCCTACACGGACTGCAGTTGTATGTTTGAGCTAACCTTGGCCATGGACACACACAAATATATACACGTGTGTGTTTATGATGGAGCGGAAGTTATGAACATTCAATAATGAACAAAAGAACAATTTTGAATCTACAAAATTAAAAGAAAATTGCAGAGCAATCTGATATATTATTAATCATTATTAATTATCCTCTCAGCAGTACATGTATTTATATAAAGGAACTCTAACACCATAAGGAAACTAAAAACATAAGGAAACTAGAGCATAAGGAAACTTAACAACATAAAGAAACCTAATATATGGGAACCTATCAGCATAAAGAAACTGCTCAAAATTCAAGTTTCTCTAAATATTATGAAAAAATAAAATATGAAACCTAATTACTAAAAACTACTAAATACGTGGAAAAAGTCGATAAAACTGTCCTACATCAGTATATACTAGGTCTTTTGAAGGTTTTAACAGCTAGTTGACGAGAGGGTGGTCATTGAGCACACACCAAATGTGAGGGGTGGACGGTGTAATTCAAGTCACTGTAATTTACCCTATATATTATTATTATAATTTTTTGTTGGGAGTTGTGTCAAATTTCTAGACTAATTAGGTTTCTATTTTAGAGTTGTATTTTATTAGGTAATTTATTGTTTGTTAAGTGTTGGGCTCCAAGGAATTGTAATCCTTGTCGAACACGGAATTGGGCTTGGAGCTCTATAAATAGGCACCTAGGTTATGGGTTGAGACTCATGAGATTGAGAGAGATGAAGTCTTATGAGGGAGTTGATAGCGAGGGGATAGGCTTGTGGAGTGGGACATGGTAAAAAGACATGTGCATGATGTTGGTACTCTATTGTTGTAATATTTCTACGAATCACCAACAGGTTAGTGGCCTAGCGGTACCAGACCCTTACTTCCCAAAGGGACGTTAGGGGTTTAAGCGTAAGTGGAGGCATGTATGTGTGAGTACTAACTAAGAAAAAGAAAATTTTTCTACGAATCATAGTATAATCTCTTCTCATCCGTGGATATAGGTTGGGTTTGGCCAAACCATGGTACATCTTATGTTTCAGCGTGATTGCTTTTATTGGATCTTCATGTTCCTTTGTGCTTTCGCTGTTCTCAACCAATTGGTATCAAAGCTGAAATTGAGGGAGATCTAAAGAACACAAGGAGTCTTAACAAATGCTGCAACGGGTCAGTGGAGTTAATTGACTTGTTTGATCATGATGGTTAGAAAATCGTGATAGGTTACATCATAGTTGTTAAAGGCGCCGAAGGCGCGCCTGCTTGAAAAATAGTTTTTTTTTTTATAATTATTTTGTTATTATTTTGGATGTGTATGGTTTATTATTTGTTTATTCTTAGTTTTTATTTGTTTATTACAAAACCTATACAAGACTTACAAGTTACAAAACAAAAAAAAACAAAAAAGAAAAGAGAACCAAAAAGCGAAGAAAGAAGAGACAGAGAAGTACAAGACAAGAGTGAAGAGCCTGATCTGCGAAGCCTGGACTGAGACTCTCGGATCTGCGTCTGCAGGTAAGTTCTCCTTCCCTCTCATCTTCTTCTTCTCTCCTTCTTGCTTCTTCTCTTCTCAGATCTGCCGGAGGCTCGGATCTCTCAGATTTTTTATTTTTATTTTTTTTTCTCTATTCTTCTTCTTCTTTTCTTCAGTTCTTCTTCTTCTCTCGGCTCTCAGCCTCTCTCGGCTCTTGCTCTTCTTTTATTCTTTTATTTATTTATTTATTTTTCTCTATTTATTTATTTTTTTCTCTATTTTTTAATTTTATTCTGTCTTCTTTTCTTCTTCTTCTCTCGACTCTCTCGGCTCTTCTTTTGTTTTCTTATTTTTTTATTTTATTTTTCTCTATTCTTCTTCTCTCGGCTCTCTCTGCTCTTCTTTTATTTTTTTATTTTTTATTTATTTATTCTGGTCCTCTGTTTTTTTATTTTTATTTTTATGCTTGTCTAGAATAGTGCCTTGCATGTGTTTGAACTTTGATGATCAATCTGTTTCTGTTTTTATGCTTGTCTCTGTTTTTATTTTCTTTGTTTTACAGTAATTAATTAATCCAAACAGTTTTATTGTGATAGTCCAGAAATGTCTATTCTTTTTAATTGTTTGACACTGATAAAAAAAAGTCATTGAGTGAGTTTGTGCATTTCTGTAATCTTGTATTAGGTTGCACGTTTTCCTTAATTGGTCTTTTCTACACGCTGACACACGCATATATATAATAAACACACACACCCATATATATATATATATATATATATATATATATATATATCTTCTATATAAAAATTATAATTCTGTCAAACCTTGACGGCAAATTTTACAATTTGCTTCAATTTAAATGTACAGTCCACCTTTTAAATAATGTTTTAGTGTGAAAAATTATAATTTTGAATGTTGACTTTATTGGGTGGGTTTTATTTTTATTTTTTTTTAACGTGCGCCTCGCTTCAGTCGGGCGCGCGCCTCGCCTTGCGCCTCAGGCTCCAAGAGGCATTTGCGCTTTTGTGCACCTTGAGCCTTTAACAACTATGGGTTACATGGCATAGAGCTCGATTAGTTAAGGTGGAGCATTAGAGGTTTGACTTATCGAGCAACATACGGTGTGGACAGTTAGAGTTTTGCAGGAGGATCGTGATATCTTGGCATGCAATCTGAAGGAAAATGAGGAACTGACTCCTTGGGTGAAAGTCTCTAAATGAGGCTAGGGAGGAACTAGATCATTAGGGAAAAGTCCTTAAATCAGGTTGGGTTGCAGGAAGGGTTCATGGGTGGAAGTCCCTAAAGAGTGATTCTATTTTGTGTGCAAGATTGAAGTTGCCAAAAAATTGTCTTGATCAATGCCGTGGAAAGCTATGATTGGCTGCTGCATGGAATTTGAGCCAAGGTGGAGATTTTTGGGACTTGTGTCTCAAATTCCTAGTCTAATTAGGTTTCTATTTTAGAGTGGTATTTTATTAGGTAATTTCTTGTTTGGCAAGTCTTGGGCTCCAAGTAGGGGTGGCAATTCGTGTTCGTGTCGTGTCGATGTAATGGTATTATACTAAATAGATAAACTTAAACCCAACTCATTTAATAATTGCATCAATAATCTCAATACTAACTCAACCTGTTTATTAA